TATTATAAAATATAGCAATAAAGTTAACAACAACAACAAAAAAGAAATAGGTTATATTTTGCAACATTACTTTAAGCAGTCACCTGGCACTGTGAATGTATTTAGCTAGTGAAAAAGTGACACACAGTGGCAATTTACTCAAATGATAAATTTACAACTAAGAGCTGAACAAGAGCCCACATAAAACCTCTGGAGCAATCAATAGGCTTTGGGGGCTATCCTGAGATCCTACACTCACCTCTCATATTAGTAAGGACTGCACAGCTGTGAGAGAAAATTCTAAGAAACAAACAACTGGGACAAAATACAAGTTCAAAGGAATGTGTCTTGTGCCTCAAGTAAAAGGACAGGCAGGTGGCCAGGGCTGGTGACCCATGAGGTCAGGACTCCAGACTCTCTTTACTGTGTTGCTTCTGCTCTGTGGCTGGCCCTTACCCCAGCCGCCACTCAGTGATGCTATATTTCTGCCACAGGACAGAGAAGAATTGACAAAAGGCATATCTACACTCTTTCTGAATTACATTCCTGGAAGCTGTCCCATGACACTTCCCACTGGCCAGGCTAAGTCCCATGTCCATATCAAGTTGCAAGGGGGCTGACAATGTGTCTCCATTCCTGGAGGTAAAGAATGTCACCACTATTAGAAAAGGCCACATGGTTACTGAAAGAACAATTAGCCACCCTGCCATAGTTGTTCTTACAGAAGAAGAAAGCTGGTTTGTAATACATAGTAAGACAAAAGCCCATAGGCCCTGCCATATTTCCAGCTTTCTCATTCTTTGCCTGAATCCCCAAAACACACACAAAGAGATACTGGATACACATCAAAAACAAATCTTAAATTGAAGTACATTCCTTACTCTTCAGAGACAGATAATAGAAAGGCTGCTTACCTGGTTTCTTCTTAAATTTTACCTGGTGATGCCCAAATTCCACATCTTTCTTTAGCATGAGTCTAGATTCTTGAAAAGCAACTTACTTTAGAAATAACTTCCAATGTCTATCAGCAACTTTCAATGTCTATCAACGTTTTTACACTTTAATTTGGAAGAGATTCTGAGTTTTCTATCTTTTCTTGTGGGCAGGAGTTTCTACTGGGAGAAAGTGAAGTCGGGTCTGGATATATAACTTGTTGGCAGTGGAGACAGATAGAGTAAATTATATATTTAGGTATTTGTATGATTTAGGTAGGATATTGCTACTTGCAGCCATTGGTTAAGAAATCCTATTGATTTGGATTTTTAATTTTAAATTTTTTTCATGGGGTATTTTTCATTTAACCAATTTAAAGATAAAGAAATCATTTTCTTTTATTGCTAAGCTTTTTGTCTCCCTAAAGATGCATGACTTCGTGTGCATGAATGAATATCAGTAAGAATATGCTCTCAAAGATCAGGGAGTACTGTATATGTCTTAGAATTATTCTATGTATGACAAGAACTAAGTAAATACAGTTTTGTGCCAGGAGTTCACTACAGAAGCAATTGCTAGGAATAGCATTTACTACCACTCTATCCAATTCTTTCATTAAAGAATTCTCGGAAGTGGCTGTGGTTCATGAAAAGAAGGAAAGATTTCTCAAAGTAAAAGAAGAGGATACTTGAGGGGTTATAAGCTGAATACAATGGGAAGGTAGAATTTAAACTCAAGCTATTGTATTTAGTATGTGTTTATTGATACCAGAAGGGGATGAGGCTATTATAGCAGAAAGAAGCTGGGTTTGAGATTCCATAATGAAGGACCTTATTGCCTTTAGTGAGCACCTACTATATGCCATTCACTATCTTGCACTTTCATTTAGTCTTCACAATAATCCTGGTAAGACAGGCATGATTATTCTTATCTCATAGATGAAGAAACTGAGTTCAAAAGAAAGTAAGGACCATGGCCAAGGTCACACCCACCGAAAATCAGAGCTAGGCCTTGAATATGGTCTGATGACTTCATAAGCTCTGTCTACCTGGCTACACTGGGCTATAGCATGAGAGAGGTTGAAAAAGAGAAGAGCTGGTTTAACCTGGGCTTTTGCTCACGCAACCCTACTACCTCATATTGCCCCCCCTGAATAGTCACACATTCACCATGGCTAGTGCAGCTGCTGTGTCTCTGAGACATGTGGCCAGTGGTGGCTGGATAGGCCAGTGGTGGCTGGATAGGCCAGTGATGAGGGTTGGTGCCCTGTCAGCATCTGGATCATTAGTAGTTTTTGACTATCCTTGCTGGTTACCACTTCCATGCAGATGGGACAAGGTTGCAGAGCCCTGCTAATTAACCAAGGCATGTCGTTTTCTTTTTAGGCATCGCCGTGGTTCCTGATTAGCTAGGAGTTTGCTTTGCTTTTAAGTCATGAACATCCCAGCTGTCAAATCTTTCTTTCCCAAAGCATGTGCAGCCATTCTGCCTTGGACCATGAGCTCATCTGATCTCTTACTCCAAACTGCCTTGCATTTGACCTGGTCTTGGCCATGGACCTTCAGTGAAAGGCTAAGTGGTAAAGTGGTATTTGTGAGTCAGTCCTCCCTCTGAGTCATAAATAAAACTGTGCTTCAGCATGTTAGAAGAAGCTGTCCTGGGATGAAACCCAAAAGACATTTCCCCTTCAGTTCTTTCGGATGCATACTGAATTCTTATTCAGGAGGGGTGCTGTTGGTGTGAGTGAGGAGAAAACTTCAGAGAATCCATTTATTTTTGCTTCTTTTCTACCTCCCTTTCTCCCTGTTTCTTTACTTTCCTCTGTCTTCCTACTTCTTATAAAATAGTCAGACCTAATCAGTTAAGGACAATTATGTATTTCCTTAACATTTTGTTCAAGGAATTCATTCTCAATGTTAATTCTATCACTTAAAATTGTGGCAAGCTAAAAAAAAAATACTGGGTAGGAAGCAAGCAAACCAACCAACAACTCTCAAAACCAACCAAACAAAACCTACACAAAGAGGATTTAGAGTGCTAGCTTGAAAAATCAAGAGTTGAGTGATCTTAGACAAGTCAAAAAGTACATGAAACTCCATTTCTTCAAAAGAAATAGGAAGCCAACCAAACTCGTCTTACCTCCCCCACAAGAGTGTTGTCAGACACAGTGAAATAATCCATGTGAAAGTGCTTTATGAACCCACACATTTATGACCAATTGACTTGACTACAGTGCCAAAAACACACAATGGGAAAAGAAGTCTCTTTAATAAAGGATGTTGGGAAAACTGGATATCAATATGCAGAAGAATGATACTGGACCCTTACCTCACACCACCTGGAAAATCAAGTCATAAAGGATTAAAGATTTAAACAAGACCTAAAACTATAAAACTACTAGAATAAAACAGGGAAAAAACTATATAAGGTTGGTCTTGGTGATGATTATTTCAATTTGACTCCAAAAGCTCAGGCAACAAAAATAAAAATAGGCAAATAAGATTTCATCATACTAAAAATCTGCTACACCTCAAAGAAAACAAGAATGAAGAGACAACCTAAAGATTGGGAGAAAGTACTGTAATTGCAAGCTGTATATCCAATAAGAGGTTAATATCTAAAGCATATAAGGAATACAAATAGCTCAATAGGAAGAAGAGAAATAAGTTGATTTAAAAAATAAGAAAGATATTTCTCTAAAGACAATATAATCATGGCCAATTGATAAATGAAAAAAATCCTCAACTTCAATAATCATCAGGAAAATGCAAATTAAAATCACAATGAGATATCACTTTATGCTTGTGAGAATGGATGTTATAAATAAGATGAAAAATAGGAAGTGTTGGTGAGGATGTGGAAAAAAGGGAACCCTTGTACAATGTTGGTAGGAATGTGAATTAGTACAGCCATTATGGAAAAATGTATGGAAGTTTCTCAAAAACTTTAAAATAGAACTACCATGTGATCCAGCAGTCCTCTTCTGGGTATATATCCAATGGATCTGAAAGCATTACATCAAAGAAACATTACATTTTCATGATGATTGCAGCATCATTCACAATAACCAACTTACAAAATCAACCGAAGTGACCATTAATAGGTGGATAGGTAAAGAAATGTGATATACACACAATGGGATACACTTCAGCCTTGAAAATGAGAGAAATTTTGTTATTTGTGACCAAATAGATGAGCCTGGAGGACATTATGCTAGGTGAAATAATCCAGACAAAGAAAAACAAAATTGAAATCTAAAACAAGGGAACTCAGAAACACAGAACACAATGATGGTTACCAGACACTGAGGGTGGGGGTGGAAGGAAAGAGATATTGCTCAAAGGATGCAATGTTTCAGAGAGAAGCAAGGATTAAATGGTACTTGAGGTGATGGATGACTTAATTATCTTGATTCAACCACTCCCTATTGTGCGTGTGTATACATATCACTTTGTATCCTCCATATATATGCAATTGTAATTTGCCAATATTCAGTAAAATATTTTTAAAGTGCTTTGTAAACTGTAAAGTGTCGCAAACAGATGGTTTGGGCTTTACATTTAGATGGGTCTAACAGCATCCTTACCAGTGTGACTTGGGAAAATTACTTCATCTGAGTTGTTATCCACTGGCAGTAATATTATTCTGCCCTAAGTTTATTTAGCAACATCTGGAGACACTTTCGGTTGTCACAGCTGAGGGGCAAGGAACTACCAGTATCTAGTGGTTAGGGAACAGAGATGCTGCAGAACATCCTACAAAGCACACCTCCACCCCCAAGAAAGAATTTTGTGGCCTCAAATCTCAATAGTGTTATGGTTTTAAAACCCTGCTTTATCCTAACAAACATCAAGATTATTTTTCATTTTACTGTAAGACAGAAATAATAGTGAGAACACTTAGGAGAGTTGTTATGTAGACTGAATAAAATAATGCAACTAAGTCATAGCCCAGTGCCTGGCAGGTGTTATGTTTATAACCCTGTTTCATACCCAATAGTCCTTCAATGACTCTCCCTGGAATCCTACCAGAGTATTCGCAGAACTTGATCATCAGCCCTTCCTAAACTTATGTTAGTAAACACTCACATCATTTTGGCAGCCTCATATCCATTCCCTGCTTCAACAGTACGTTGGATTCCATTTGAAGAATTCCTTTTCCCCAGTCATGTGAGGTCTTGGTGGAAATATAAATCCAGATGAATCTCAAAGGTAGTGAAAAAGGCCGCATCCTTTCTCTCCCTGTCCCAGCTCAGCCAAGGAGTGAGCATGTGAGCAGTCTTGGCCAATCACACAATCCCTTCCAGGAGGCTGACTCCTGTGCACCAAAGGAAGAGATGGAAACGTGCAGCTGTACATCAACCTGAGCGTTCTTGTTGGGCCTGATCTTACTTCCCAACTCCACGGAGCCCTTTTGTTCTTGTCTGCTCAAGTCCTGTGGACTTGATAGGGCTCTCAGAGCTTTCCAATACATTTCCAGAATTGGTGCTGTTGCTTGCATCCAAAAGTCTTAATTCATCACTTACCCACCAATGATCCAATAAACAGAACCATTGCATTCTGTGAATGGTGTCTGCTGGTAGATGGGATGGGAGTGATGGCATGGATTTGTGTCCTAGGTGGTAGTTTCCAACTATATTTTTCCCACTAGCACTGCAGCAATATTAAGTTCCAAATTCTAAAGCCACACTCTTTATTGAAGTAAAAGCTTATTCTTCCTTCTCTAGCCAAGTTCCTTATCAATAAACATAAATTAGCAAAGTGTTTTAGCTCTATCCTGCACTGAACCCTTTACATTTGGCTAATAGAATTGGGCAACAATATGACTTAAAATATTGATTCAAGCAAATTCTCAGAAGTATATGGTATATTTCTTGTAAAATACACATTTGAAGTTATCAGCCCTCCCATTTATCTTTAGTGTTTGTCAGACCAAGTTTTAGTATCTTTACAGAATGGAAACATATATTGTGTCTATCTGGGAGTAGTCTAGCCAAACTATGACACTGGCTACAGATAAGCATGAGAAAGAGATACTAAATTCATTAACTGTTGTTTTTAATTTAGTTTCATTCTCTGGACCAGAAGTATAACTGTTTGAGGGGGAAAATCTGATAAGCTTCACTTTGTTTTGAAATAACAGCTTCATAACAAATCACATTTGCTTACTGGCTTTAAATATGCCAATCATTTTTAAGTTTACAAAGAATATTATGTATAGAATTTCATCATTATAAATATATGAGCAATTTAAGCAGCTTTTTTATTAAGATGAAAAAGAAAATATTTGTAATAGGAACACAGAATTGAAATTCTTGATTTTGCTAGTTATTGATAATACTAGCAGTTATTCCAAGTTTAGATTTGATAGAATACACTGTAGTTAATATTTACTAGTAAAGTCAAATTGTACATTTAACTGTTGCTCATGTAGTCACCATCTGCATGGTTCTTGAGTAGAGGCATTAAAAAGAAAACTGGATAAAAAACTTTGCAAAATTAAAAAAAAAAATCATGAAGTCTCCAAGGAAGCCAGTTGAAAAATTTCAACACCTCTGAAGCCTGGTAGTCTCATTTCTAGGGCAGGCATAATAATAATTACTTCGGCTTTATTTATTTGTTTGTTTGTTTGTTTAGTGTTGAGGATAAAAACTAGGACCGGTGCATGCTAGGCAAATCTTTTACTGCTGAGCTACACCCCCAGATCTCAACTGGTTATTTGATGAATAAATAAATCTATGCGTTTTAAATTTATTTGAAGGGTTCTGCCAAGGACAAGAATTTTATAAGTTCTAATGCTAGGGGAGAAAGTATTTGTCAGTTAAAATTTTTAGCATATTAAAAACTCAGCTAAGCCCTAGACACAGCCACAGTGTATCACCCTGGGTCACTTAAAAAAGAAGTATCAGGTGATGTCTCTAGAGTAGCTACACATTTTAGCAATAGTAGAGGGCAAGAGAGATTTTTGTCTTTTGCATTATTAACGACATCATGGGACACCTAACTATTCCCACTCCCCACCCCCTTCTGCCTTTAAACACAGATATCCTAAGCAGTGTCTCTTGCTCTTTGGATGTAAAGAAGGCAAACACATAATTCCTCTGATCAGGTTGGGTGAAGTCAAAGGAAAATGGCTACAGTTGTCTATATTTGGGCTACTGACCTCAAAAGAAATGTGATTGCTGCTTGGGAGCCAAGCACGTGGTCATGTATCCTTCCTTTGATAAATATCTGTCCATCCTTCAAGTCCCACCCCAAGAAACCTCTCTTCTGATCTTCCATCCAACTTTGATCTCATCCACAGGACAATGTGTTTGAACTTATGCATTTGTCAGTCCCATACTAAGCTGTAAATACCCTGAAAGTGAGAACCGCATCATACTCATTTTTGTACCTCTCTGTTCTCCATTCCATACTCTGCACTGGGCAGCACTGGGGCTTCAAAGAAAATGAACTGTGGAAACAAGA